TTCATTGTATACAGAAACAGAATAAAATACTATCATCCACTAAATAGGTTAAAAAGACAGTAAAGAAGGTGTGATTATTTCTTCTGATGTTTCCAGGTACGGTAAATTGCAGGTTACTTGGGTTCTGTTCTTGAACTGAACTTTGGTTTGAGCTGCTCTGGTACTTATGCTGGACAGGCAACCATGGTGGGGCTTGCTTTTAATTATGTTTTTAATTTTCAGGGAACTCCTTTTTTAAAGAGGCCCTTTTTTGCATGGCGTTTTAAATTGGTTTTGGTGCATTCTCTTCTGTGACAACCACTGTATTTGCTTATTATAACAAATGACAACCACTATAGTTGCCAACTAGCTTTCTTTTTCTGAAAACTATAAACAACAGTACTCACAAAGCTGTTGTGGCTTTTATCCTTTACTATTAAAACTCACAAAAAGTTACAGAAGTAACTTCATTTAAAATCCTAGCCATGACAAATGTTTAAAATTGGTGGGATGTTTCTTTTGCTTTTCAGTTTCTTTTTTGTTGTGTGGAGGGACAAGAAAAGCCGTAGCAACTTCGGGCCTAGCACTGCATAAACATTTGTTTCTTGTGTCCTACATATTTGCAAATCTAGTTATTTACAGTGTTATTTCTCTTGAGTGTTTGGTATATAGTCAAATTGTTTTATATATGTATATTTAATCACTTAAAATAAATGTGTATAATTAATCAGTTAAAACGTAATATTCCAGGTCCAGGGAAAATTAGTTTTTACAGTGGTTCAGACCTTTAGCTACTACCTTGTTATTTTGGGGGTTAGCTGCTTTAGCTGCATGCTTAGAAACTGCTTATAGGAGACTGATAAATGTGGTCTTGATTTTGCACTCAATGGGACCCATCTGAATCATGGATTTTCCTCTGAGTTACTCAAACATATTTAAGAACTGGAAACGGTGTACTGATGTGGGAGAAAGGTGGAATTGAATGGGGATGGTGTCAGTCCCTTTCAGTATCTGTACTGAATGAGGAAGGGAAGACAAAAGGCCCCACAAACTCTTCGTGGGTAGTACTAATTTAAAAGGTAAAGACAGATGGGGGAATGGTGCATGGAGAGTCTTTAAGTATATAAAAATTTCATCCTAACAGAATTCTTGAAGGGTAATTGTTGCAGGAAGTCACATAAAAATGTTACCTCCCTTCTGGTTTTCTGCACTCTGTATTGGACAAGGAAGAGACCCCTTTCTTTGACACTGTTAAGTGCTTCTGTTTGGCTGACTTCATTATGTTGAAGTTAATGTGCTTGTTAAAAATGTGCTGATAAACATAAAGTTTAAGTAAAGCATTTAGGACTCAAGCAGCATTATTTGATTTTCTGAAGTGCTCTGATGACACAACTTGGCAACATGAGGTTGAACGTATGCATGTCCCTTTAGCTTCTGTTTTCCTTGTAAAATAAAATATCAGAAGTCATAATGTTTTGTGGGACTTTTTTTGTTTGCTTTGAGGGTTCTTTTTGGTATAAACCTTTACCTATGTTCCGGTTTACAGTCCTGTTTCAAAGCATGGCATGTTGAGTGTTGGGGGGTGGGGGTGTGGGGGTGTTAGTTTCTACTCTAGAAAAAGCTATTCCATGAGACCACTTACAAACAGATATTGAAGTATACACAGAATTGTAAAACAAACATGCTTCCTCCCCTCCCCCCTTCTGTATAGAATGTGTGCAGTGTAGTTTGGAATTTATTTCGTACTTAGCTTAGCTTTCCCTCTCCCTACCCTCCCCTTGCATCTTTTAGTGGTGATTGTTGCAAGTCTGCTGAGAATTGACCAATTTTAGACTTTCATTTGTTTTTTTTTCTCTTGAGACCTAAGAATACATGGTTTCAGGTATCCATGCTTGAAAAAGTAAGTATTGTTCCTGACCAGTTGGGGAGGGGGTGTGGAGCAGGCTGTTGCTGTAAATCTTTTATGGATATGTTTGAGTTGCAGACTAACTGCCTAGCTAAGGCAAGTGGTATCTTTCTTTCTGTGCCACTTCTGGGGCAGGGTCGCAGTTCAGAGAGCTGATGCAGACTGATGTCTGTTTTTGGTGCAGGCAGTTGTTCTCTGCCAGTTATTTCCTGAACTAGCTTGCTTTGGGTTCAGATGAGCACTGTAGGTGCAACAAGGGCAACTGGTAGGACTGTATAGGCCTTTATAAAGTGTGGGCAGTAGGACTGCACCTTTTGGAGACTACAGTCTATTATCCTCAGCGTAAGCCTTTGTTGTATGCCTTTTGAATGCTGATTATTTGCAGAAGCAGTACACTGACATTAGGACCAGAATCTTACCAAAAGTTCATGTATGCCTAACCAAAGAATGAGATAAGCAAATACAGTAACTTTCCCCTCTCACTTTTTTCAGTTCAGCTAATTTACCGTAGTTAATATCTTTCGGTGTGTATCTGTTTCAGCTCATGTGGCCTCTTTCAACTCACATAGCCATTCAGCATCCACAGCATCCCTTTAGTAAGGAGCTGCAGAGCTTAATTGCTCAGTGTGTGAAGAGCTACCTCCTGTAATTTATTTTGATCCTGCTTGCCAGCCTTGTTTGGTGTCCCCCCCTGCACTTCTTATTTCTTTACATCCTAAAGTGTCCTAGTTAGCTGCATTGATCCTTATGTGAAATTTATTTCACTATTTAGCATTTCTTGCCTTCCTTTGAAGCTTTTTTTTAGGCCTTCTGTATTCTCTTTTGAGATAGGAATGGGGAGCTTGCAAAATAGCATGCAATTTTATAGATGTGGGGATATGCTATGGTTTTGAGCAGTTAACACTCTACTTTGTTTTATCTTTACTCTCCTAATATTTAATTTGCTTTCTTGGCCATTGTGATGACCGTTGAGGTGATTTTTAATTAAAACATCTACCATAGCAACAGAGGCTTGGGTGGTAATTGCCAGTTTGAGGGCCATCCTATCAAATGTTTGGATTGTTTTGTTCCCTAAGTACCACTGCACACTTGTGTATGCTGAATTTCATCAGTCACTGTCATAAATCCTTTCTACAGTTCTTGACAGTTAGTACTTTATGCCACCAAGGAAAAAAAAACCAGTACCATAACACAGTGTTGTTGTCTCATTGCTTGAAATCATTTATGAACATATCTATATTGTCCGTCTCAGGTCAAAGTGTTGTGAAACACCATGGTGGGAACTGGTGTTGTAGTTCTACCTTTGTTGGGCTATTTGGAGGCTAAAACCACTAAAGGACATTCTCTCTCTGTCTGCTTTGTTTCTCTTAAGGCTTTTGTGATTTCTGATGCAAGGGACCTTGTTAAAAGTATTTCAGAGAACTTACAATAGATGTGTGATGCAGTATTACTTATAGCGTTTATTCTTCCTTGTAAGAGAGTATTTATCTACAAGTCTGCTAATTCTCTTCCAGTTGACCTAAATATTGCTACATTAAGCTAACAGATTTTCAAGCAGGAATTGTTGAAATAAATTTGGTGGGAAGGCAAAATCTACTTCCAAAATATAAATCGGCCTCAGCTGTTGTTCTTGAGGAGAAAAAAATTGCCAGTCCCGTTATCAGTGACTGCTTTGCTTTGGAGGAGCTATAACCAAACTGTCAGAAGTGGGACACAGGGCTGTTCGGGTTGCAGAGCCTTAAACAAAGTTAGGCACGCAGCTTTGGAACTAAAAATGTAGGCCGCTTAACCTGACTTGTAAGTCTTTTATTTAGTTCATGGGGAATTAGACAAATCTAAGTGGGATTCACAGACTTGTAAGTCAAAAAGAAATCCTGAAGAGGGATATATCTGATTTTTGTTTTAATCTATGCTTTGTTGGCCAGCCTGGCTCTTGAGATAGGTGCCCAAGTGTAAGTAGGATTGGCACTTCATAGCTTTCTTGAAGCCCTTTACTCATTCCTTCTGTATGCTGTGGAGTGCTTTACCTTTCTGTCTACAGCATGGCTGATGGTGTTATGTTTCCCCATCAGCTTCTCACTTTCTCAGGACGTAGGAGATCTCAGTTAAGTTTCCTCAGCTGGAGAAGGGGGCCCAGGCTCTGAAGTGCAGCAAGCCCGCTCTTCTGCTTATGCTGAAGCTGTGCCATTATGGTGGAAGCAATAAGGAAAGAGTAAGTGAGTACAGGGAGCCTGACTGTAGTGTAATGAGATAAGCTATGTGCCAGAGCACGGAAGAAATACGGTTTTCAGTCTCTGCTTAGAGTACTGTCTATGAGTCACACTTAACTGTTGATTAAAGGAGGAGAGACGACCCAAAGCCCTTGGCCTTCTGCTTGCTGGGGGACTGCAGCATAATGACAAGTCTGCCACAGAATTGGTGGGTGCCCTTACAGACATCTGTTTTATTGCTGTGCTTTGTGCTGCACTCGGTGCTGTGTGTTTTTTACACAGAGTGCTCTAAATGGACTGGGCCTTTCTGAGGGTTTCAGTGTAGGTATACCCATGTAGAAATACCAGATGGTGCTGGGTTATTGAGCATGGGCAAAGGCAGTGCCAGAAATTTACTTTTATTAATATAAACAAGATTAGCTAGATAACCAGGCAAGGATTTTTCTCCATTTTCTCCATTAAAACATCTATATTTCACCTTCATGTTTCTCTGTAAATAGTGATGCAGTTCTGTAACTGTAGATCAGGGCATAATGAGCCTTAGTTCCATCATATAGATAAAAAAGCCCGAATGTACTTTTTTGATCAGATGAGAAAGTGTGACTGTATGTTTGTGCCCTTCTCTGCTGACATAAAGACTAGAAAAGCACAGGCTAGATATTCCCCTCTTTGAAAGTTTTAGAATGGAATGTCTGGATATTGTTACAGACTCTCTAATTTGTATCTTCTTGCAGTATAAAAACTTGTGTTTAAATGCAGAGTGTAATGTCTTCTGTGATACTATGTAAGAAGGAAGTATTTCCTGCCTTACCCTATGAAAACAATAGTTGAAGGTCCTTTGTGGTATATCTTTTATAACGTAGGACATAAAGCTTCTATTTATTTTTTTGGTTTGATGATGCAAAATGGCCAGGTTTTTGATTATAAACCCTAATTCTGAGGGAGAAGGAGGGGAGATAAAGCAGGTACAGTATTAACTACTTATTTCTGACTAAAGAGAATGTTTTCTAGTGTAACCTGTATTTCAATATTTTTGTCATTAGGTTGTTGAAGACTATGCTGGAAGATGGCAGGTTCCTTTGCCTCAACTTCAGGTGCTTCAGACGGCACTCTGTTGTTTCACGTCTGCCTGCGTATCATTCCCAGCTGAATGTGAGCATGTACAATATGTATTGAGTAGCCTAGCTTTGTAAGTACATCTTATTTTTTTTAATTACTTCCTTTACAATATAGACTCTGTGTTACTTTTATAATAGCAACAGGGTCTCAAAGATCCTCAGCTTTTAAGAGTGGTTTTACCTGGTGACTTAGCTACGTGGAACCAAGAATTGCTAAGTGAGGATACAAAAATAAGAATTTACTTTGGTCTTTTAATGTCCTTGCTGAGTATTTAAGTTCGATATTACAACGTTGTGTCATAAGGATTTTCTGGCAAAACGAATAGTCCAAAGCAGTAAGTGATCACCATACAGACTTCTTTTTAGAAAACCTTATTTTTGAGTATTTGAAGACCAACCTTAGATGGCACAAAATTGTAAATAAAAGTTATCTAAAGTTTTTACTGTTCTACTTCTAGTGATGTAAAAAGCTAAGTGTTCGTAAAGATAAATTTTGTGTAGTACTTAATAAACGAGTCCATTTTAAAATGGATTTTTATGTTTGAGTCATCAAAACACTTATGGGAATGACTTGCTATACAGTTAACTGATCAAAAGCCATATTCAACTTAATAAAGAACTGCAGAATGTTAGGTCATAAATCTTGCTATAATCTTTATTTTCTTGATACATTGGTGGTTTTCCCACATGAAAGCTGAAAGTGTCAGGGTAATGGTCAGTAGTAAGTAAAAGTCCCCCTTTTTTTCTCTTGCTCTAAAAACCTACTTTTCAGGTTTCAAAACCTCAATGTTGAATGGAAGCAAAAAAAAAAAAAAAAGTATCTTTGAGTTACATGTGCTTAGCTGAGATGCAGTGTACTTGATCTTCTCTCAGCAGATGAGACAAAAACCTAAAAAGCTAGCTTTATTGCAAGTTTGATTTGAGTAAATCAGGTTTATTTGTCCAGCTTGTTAAACTGCTTTCTTGTTGAACGGTACTTTCGAATACAGCTCGATTTCTCGGTCCAGAATTTTGTGTGGAAATGTCTCGCTCCCACCTCATCTAGTCACTGGAAGTGAATGCTCTCCTAGTCTTCCTCTCAGTTTACTTCGTCAGGAGGACTGACTTGCTTATCCTTTCTACTGTTCTTGAGCTATTAGTCCTAATTACGTAGGAGTCAAGGCTTTATCTGTACAATTACAGAGTATCTGTTATCTTTAAGTGTTGGTGAAACTTCACCAAACAGACTTACTGTTTTGTGTGTGTGAAACTATTTGACATGAAACTATTTATGGAATCAGAAGATCACGATTTTTAAAACTGGAATACTCAGGGATCAGAGAATGATTAGCAGTTATATCAAAACATGGTGACCTCTTTTTTTTTCTTCACTAGTTTATAGAAAAAAACACCTCATTAAGTTCAAACCACACTTCATATATTTTTAAATATCAAAGCTTGTGAGGAAAAAAGGTAGAAATTCAGGTGTGTTATATATAGGGTGGTCACTTCCTGATAACCTAAGAGTGAATTGATTGCTGAGTTCCTGTCACCCTTGTCTATCTTGGGTTTTGGAGCTGGGTTTACTCACTGAGATTTTCTTCCGTTCTAGAATGCCAGCTTATGTTTTCTTCTGACTCTGCTCACTGGGATAGTTTTGTACATGATATCATAAAGGGATCCTGGGAAATAGTAGTCACAGTTTCCTGGGAAACCTTGCTTGAATCTCTTTTTTGAACGTTTGCTGTATATTCGGTCTTGGTTCTTGGAAAGCAAAAATCTGCCTGACTGTATTGTCATATTCAAGTAACATTTCCTTGGTAACCAGACAATAAACTATTAACAGCAGGGGCTGTTTGCATTTCTTATACTTACTAACCTTGCTGTTCATAACAAATGAAGCCACATCTGTACTACCGTTAATATGAGGGAGTTTTAATAATGGTGCCAGCATACTAGTGTTCTTAGGCAATCTTCTGATGCCAATAATGTCAAAGTAGTGATGTGATAAATCTAGAAGCACCATTGTTATAAACGGATGGGTGTAAATGTAGATGTGCAATGCTGCAGACTGGTTTAAGTTAACAGGGCCAAGCTGGAATTGACTATAGTAATTTTAACTGAATGGAGACTGGTGATGACGAAACAGAAATATTTTGATAGCTTCCTTTATTAGTTTGATGAGAGTGTGGAGCAGGTGCATTGACAGGGAAGAAAACTGTAATTTACACTTGTCCACTGTTATTTTCCAGTATTTTTTTTTCAATATACTATTCTCTTTAAATCAGTCAAAGCAAATAAAAATGGGTGCATGCATCATTTGGTATAACTAGTTTTGTCTTATTTAAGTTCTAGTTTGGCTGCTTTCCAGATCATGACATGACTCATGCCTGACCTTTCCTGAGAGTCAAGTATGCTGCAAAGTTTTGTTTATTAACATGAAATGAGATAATGTTTTTCAGAACAAAGTACTTATTTGGGTACTGGTTGTTTTTTCATTCCATATTTGAGTTGGGATTCAAGGTCCTAATCTGGAGAAAAAATATGTCATTGAACATAGCGAATGTGTGTATTAAATTTTTTAGGTCTATTTTTGGCATAGCTTATCACTGGTTAGGAAAAAAAATTACTACAGCATAATCTAAAGGAAACCTAATTTTATGATACTTTTATATTATTCCCCTACAAAACTTCATTTTGTTTATGTGAGTATTAAGATGTTTTAATGCACGGTATTTCTGAAAATGTTATTGAGAGGAAAAATTGCTTTAAGGCTGCTCTTAACTTCTTTTGAAATGGCTTTATTAAAACCAAAACATACTGTAGGAATACTTTAAGTGTTAACTGCAAATGTATTGACTTTAAATTTGGGGATAACAGCAGTGAATTTAATTGTTCTGTAGAAGAGTTCATTGTCCAGCTGTTCATGAAAATCTTTTGTTTTAAGAGCTGTTGCAACAAAAGACTAAATACTGTAGTCAGGAAAGAAATTGCCATCAGCAAGATCTTGAGTCAAAAAACTGTAGGTTGGAAGAGTGCTGGAACCTCTTTCAGGAGTCATCTTCAGCCTTCTCACTTTCTGCCTTTTATTCTCCCTGTTCATTTGGGAAAAATATCTAGAATAATCTTAAAGAAAGTTATTCATATTTTCTTCTGTTAGGGGACCAAAGCCTTTGCTATTCAGTCCTGTTTCTAAGATGCCCTAGATGCACAGTTGTTCTTTCAGTGCTATCTTTCCCTCTGAGTCGCTCAGTTATTGCCTGCTGCTCATGACTTTCTCAGCCAGCAATTGCAGATTGTGTTAGTGCAGTAATCGGTAGTTGCTTTTCCCAAACACAAATTAAATTTGTCAAAATCTTAGGGCAGAGCAATAGCAGGTGCACTGGAGCTGTCTGCAGATCCATGGGAACCAACTATGTAGTTTCTGATTGAATTGAGTTGCAGGTATTATCTGGAAGTACGCTTCTGTAAGCGAAGACCTAAGTTAACTTGAGCTCTTAAAAGCTACTTTTTACCAACCTCTCAGATTCTGTTATCAGGATTGTTTGTCTCAGTCACTGTATTAAAAATAAATAAAATGCTAGATGAAGTATTTTAAAATGATGGTAAACGTGGAAGCCACAGATCAGTCTGAATCTAGGCTGCTGTTGAAAGGATTAGTCCTACTTTTTCCCTTATCCACCACTACTTTGGAGGTTACACATGTGAATTCATGTTGTTGCACATAGACCTGATTTGCTTAAAAACTTGGTGGTAAAATCGAAGTTTTATCTATTCATTTGAATGCCACACAGAAGATCAATAAACTGCCATTTGCATAATTGCACAAAAGCTCTCTCTTTAAAAATAATCTTCAAAAGCTTTTTTGGAAATACGAAATTAATAGCAACAGGCTTTTATTTGGAAATATTAAGTTAATATTACCTTTAAACCCACATCTTCATAGAAAGGCTTCAAGTGGGTGTTATGGCAAGACAGACCGAAATGGAATAAAGTGTGTTAGTATAAAGTGCTTACCATACTTGAAAAAGAGAATTGTTGGGAATCTGCATTCATGTGAAATTACTATTCCTTGACTGTAACTCCTTATACACTATAGTAGTTTTACAGTTGTCCTCTTTCTTCCTCAAAATTGCTGCATGTCTGACAAATGAGGAAGCTTTTGAGGAAGATTCACTTTTGTAATGGTGAATGGGGAGCAGCAGTATGGAGGACATAAGTGTTCTTGAGGGAGAAGATCAGGCAGGTACTGTGAGTCTGTGTCCCTGAACTTATGAAGAAGGTGCGGCAGAAGGGATTTTAAGTTGTGCTTAAGTATAATCTGTTTCATTGTTGGTTTGGGCTTGTTCGCTTATCTATAGCTGTGTTGTATTTGTGACTTGATGCCTGATGAAAAATGCGTTTGGGGTGTGTGTGGGGAAGTCTAACTGCACAAATCCAGCACGAAATATCAGACCAACATAAAGTTTTTGAAGTAAGACTTGTGTTTAGAGGGCGTGGGCATTAGCCAGACTTTTTAGTGTGACTCTGGCATGGGCACGGGTCTAGAACTTATGAAACTCTTAATTTTGGTTTTAGTGCTGTGAAAAGTAATAGACTTACAGTAGTTTCATTTTTTGAATGAACATTTTTAGTTTGGTTGACTTGTCACTACTTCTGTTTTTTAGGAGTTTTTTTGAATTGCTGCTGTTCTTTGGAAAAGATGAGTTCTATGAAGATCCTTTGAAAGATATTTTAGGTTCAATCCAGGTAGTGTTGCCTACTTTCATATAAACCTTTAATATTATTTTAATACATATAAAGACCGTTTTTGTGGATATTTAGCCTGGAGGAAACATGCCATTATAGTGAAAGGAGGTAGCTGCTTTGCTTACATTTCTACCCGAAGTTTAAAAAAAAAAAAGATATTTGAAGGAAAAGCCATTTGATTTGTTAGTACATTTTTATTTCTCTTTGGTTGTAATATCAATGTTGTTAAAGACATACTTTGTGCATTTCCCATATAGAAGAGCGAAGCTTTGCTTGTTTTTATCTAATTGGAACTTAATGTTATCCAGTGTTGTGTACCAGTTTGACATGAAACCTCAAGTTTCCCCCTGCGGTTTTAAACAGTAAATTTGAAGCTGAAGCTCTATCTCAATGAACTCTTCAGGTCAGCGTAAACTTGCATTGTTTAAAACTGTTGTACTGTTGGCGAGACTGGGGCAAGGTTTTGTATGGCTGTATACAACTGTGTAACATAAATGATCCTGGATTTAAAAACTTGCCTTTTTTTGCCAGATAAGTCGTTTTGACCTGAACTGTTTTTGCGAGTTGAATTCACTGCATGGGAACACAAGCACTTGTGCCACCATGAGAGGAAACTTTGTTGCAGGGAAAGGATGAAAAACAGGGTCGTTTCTTCTGTTAATACTGATCATGTGACTGCAGTTTGAGAAATAGTTATCCCTGTGTTATTTTTATGTTGATACCTGTTTGTTACGGCTGCTACAAATTCATGTGTCAGCACTGCTTACCTTAATTATCAAATCAGCAGCAATTCCATGCTTGATTAGAATTGGTGGAAGAAGGGGGTCAAGGAGCCTCAGGAATGGGTATGGTCTCTTGTATAAGAGTAATAGGACATTTTGGCAGTCCTGCAATAAGTACTTTTCTAAAACAGTCCATGAACAAGAAAGAATTTAGGAAAAAGTGGGATGTATAATACTTTCTTCTCTGTTCTGTTGTGTTACAATTCTCAATTGCCTTGACTTTTAAACAATGAATGTATTAAAAGATATCTTTACATAATTTTCTAGACAAAGAATTTCTGAATCAATTGTGTAATCAAACTGGTAGTGAAAACTATTGTTCCAGTTACTTAAACAGTTTTTACCATCAACTATATTAATCTGAATATAAAAGAAAAAAGCTGAGTTGAAACTAAAAGAATTTACAGCAAAAAAAACATATGTGAAGAAGTTAATTATATGTGTGTAGAAGCCATTCTTCAGCTGCATTTTTTTTGTTTCAAAATTAGATACCTTTTTCTTGTGATTAAAATTCTACTGTTGATGAATATTAATGTTGACACTTTCACCAGCAAATAACACGGGGGGGCAGGGAACTTGGCATATGTGAAAATCATGGGTGGCTAAACCACTCCAGATTATTTTAGGCAAGGTTAATTTCTGTTATGTAGAGATTTGGCAAAAAATGGTTGCTTGAGGGCTGGTGACTCACATGGCTTAATTCAGTTTTGCCCTCTTAGAATTCAGACACCATGACTGGATCACAAATCCAGTGACAACATGTCTAAATCTGTGCGGAGTAGCGTGAGGTGAAGACTTCTCCCACAGCATATGGCAATAATATCTCTGATTCAAGGAAAGGCAGTTTTGCATTGTTATGCAAATGACAGGCTCTTGCTGTGTGCCTATAGAAGGCATGAGCACTCTGGCTTCCACAGTTGTATTACTGTGAATCCAAGTTGTTGCTTTAGGGCTTTGTGTAGGCGTGGTCAATAAAAGAATTTGTAGCTTGAATTTTTGACTGAGGAAATACTTAAACACGTGTGGGTTTTCTTGATTTGTATCTTTTAGATGGCCTAACTTTATTTTTAGTCAACATTTTTTTCTTCTTCTTAATTGTTTTTCTTTTTATGTGTAGGAATGTCAGAACCTTCTAAATAAATACAGAAATATGAACCTGGAACTAGTGACTCGCATCATTCGAGATGGTGGACCATGGGAGGATCCAGTATTACAAGCAATTCTTAAAGCAAAGCCTGTATCACAGGACTTAGGTACTTTATTTACCACATAAATTTTTTTAGAGTACTGAAAAATGTGTTGAATTATATACTTTTTTGAAATTAGGCTCAGGTGTTGTCAGCTGGCCTTGCATACAATTTACTATTTTTCTGTAGTAAAACATAGCAGTCCCTTTTTTTATTTGAAAGAAAACTAAATTTCTTTGCTAGTGGTTGCTAGTAGTACACTTTTATAGCGTAGAGATCAAATTATTCAGACACAAGAGGCTACTGAGCAGTTACTTGTAAAATAAATTTACCAAATCAGGTGTTAAGCTCCTGAAAGAGCATGGAGAGTGACTTGACTTCAGTTAGGCTACTGAAGTAACATGATCAGGGGAGGGCCTGATGTGTAGTTCTGTCTCATGGTACTCTGACTCATTCAATTTTTCTTTTAAATTGTAAATACTTGAGCTTGTGGTATTTCTTGGTTCTGTGTAGAGTGAGGCCTGTGACTGCACCTGGTAGCTGCTTTCTCATTACGTATGTGTAATTCCTTATGTTGGGAGTAGGAGGAAGATTTCTGTTCAGGCTGCAAAGTAAACCAGCATTTTTTAACAGTGCGTGGAAAGAAACATTACCAGAATGTTAATGAAAGTTCATAAGGGGAAAATATCCAATCTACAGTAAAGTCTTTAATACCATCGTATGTGACATATGTGCTAGCAGTGGTCGTAGAGGACCTCTTAAAAGTTGTTTCTATTTGGTAGTGATAGAAAATACTAGTTCTTTTCTAGTTACTATGGTGTAATGCATGATCCAAATTCATTACTGTGTTTATGACAATGTGCTGGTTTTGTAGAGGGAGGAAGAGGACTATAAAGTCAGAACAGCTCAGTGAGCTGCCTCCTTAATCACAAAAAGTATTTTGATAGCAAATTAACATGATTAGGTGGGTAGTCTTTGTTGTTTCGTCTCTCTTGTGAAGCAAGCACTTGAGCAACATAGTTTACTCATGATTTTATTATATATCTGATAAACTTCTAGTCAAATACCTACAGAAACAAAATGAAAACAAAGATTATCCTTGTTTTGTTCTGTATCATGTGATGAACTCTAGAAGTTTTGATGGTCATGATCTGAAGTTAGGTCTCCAGCAAAGAAGTAGTTTAGTCCTTTGCCTTAATGATACCCCTGATCATCATGAAGCTTCTATATGATGGGTAACAGTTTAAAGATTCTTACTTAGTTTTAACTTCACAGAGTAGGAATGAGGGCTGCCTCTTGTCACTAGGCGATCATTTTGTTTCAGGCCACATCTCCTTCCCCTCTGAGGTATTCTTCTTCCTCCTTTTACCTTCTGATAGCCCCACATGCTCCCTTGACATAACTCATTTGTGATGACATTTTATTTTAGATAGTATCTTTTGGAAGCTTTTTCTTTCTTGTCTCACTTCCTCTAAAATCTGATTCTTGTGGAGTCTTACACAAAGCAAACATTCTGTGCTGCTTTATAGGCTGGCAGTATTTGGTATATATTTTGAAACTTGGCCATATAGTACCCTTGGGGATCACTATTTTAAATAAGGAAAACTGCCTATAATTGCTGAAAAGTAATGGTTGCTGACTTTTGCAACCATTACTTGCAAAAGTCAGCTTGATAAATACGTACTGTGTGAACTACATAATTCTGTCTTGGATTCATTAATTACACAGAGAAGCTTAAGCCAAGACAAACCTCGCTGTGTCTGTCTTTACATGAATTGTAGTATAATTTGAGATGTCTCTTTTGAGATAATTGAAAAGGAAGGCAATCTCTGGGTTTAAAAAAAAAAGCAGGGTTGAAACATAGGAGCAATAAACTTGTAACAGATTAGGGAGAATAAGGCGTCCTACTGTGAACATCTAGAAGAGAATATTGCAGGCAGAGATACACTCAGATGTAAGCAGTTAATTAGTTTCTAAGTTGATGGTTGGCATCTATTGCTCTAAAGCAAAGCACCGCACATGCTGCCTGGACAGGAATAGATGTTGTTTTTCCCGAGCTGTTTTTAATGTATCACAGACTTGGCTAAATGCTACTATAGTTAGCAGTTGTCTTTTGCTTGAGGGGTTAGAAGAGCTTTAAATGCTGCCTTGGGAAAGGAGAGTGTTCCACTACAGGGAGGGAGCACAATCCTGCCAGTGGTGTAGCTGGAACTCACAGTCTATTTAAAACCAGCATTGGAGGATGTAGGAGACACCCACCCCCAACCCCCCCCTTCCCTGGGAGTTCATGCTGTCAGAAGTGGGATTCTCATTTATGGAGCAGAGGGGCATACTGACCTAAGAGTTCCCCACACAGAAACTGGGAATGGTATAACTGTTGCCTGGAGAAATTATGGATGCCCCATCCCTGGAGATGTTCAAGGCCAGGCTGGATGGGGCATTGGGCACCCTGGTCTATCTAGTGGGAGGTGTCCCTGCCCATGGCAGGGGGGTTGGAACTCGATGATCTTCAAGGTCCCTTCCAACCTAAACCATTCTGTGATAACAAGTTAACTTGTATTGTGGGCTGCGGTTTCCGCTCGTTTGAGGGAAAAGGATGTTACAGCCTGTTGTTAGATGTGCAGTATTTTCTTAACATTAGCACGTAACAAAAGCTAAATATTTCTGGCCTAATTTTTCAATGTGAATATTCAGTAATCTGCTGGGTTATATTTGTATATGAAACCGATGATGGGGTTTATTATCCTAAGTATGTTAATTCCAAAAAGGAGAGGCCTTTAGTTGGCTTCCAGGATTGTTCTGTATGATCACTTTTTTCGCAGTTAATGACCACTGTTAGACACTGGCTTTTCTTTGTCTTCTTTACTAAGTTTGTACCCAGAAGTGCTAATGGACAGTGAGAATGAGATCTTTTCTTATGGTGGACCTTACCGTTACATCTAGTAGCAAATCTTGTATAAAACCTTATATCACCTTGAATAATATTACTTAAGTGTTCACTAGCATGTAATACTATTAGCTTATGTAAAAATAAAGATGCTAGAGAAATTCTGTTTCTGAGCATAAGGAATGTCTCAAACTAGGTGTCCTTTTAAAAAAGAAGTTTAAGTGAAAGCTTGTTATACAAGTAATATTTTTGTATAGGGAAAAAATTTCCCTTGGCTGTTCAGATTGTGGTTTTCAGTAACCACTTTATTTTTTTAAATTCTTTTAAGTGTCACTTTAAGTTGCTTGTAACTTTTTCAATAGAGGTTCCTTCAAAGGTATAAGATTCCCATGCTTGCTTCTAGCCTTCATTGACTTTAAATTGACAATCTTTTTTTCTTTTTCTAAAATGTGAAACACTGTACAGTACTACAGGGGATGCAGTAGAAATTGTGGGGTTTTTACTCTTAAGGTAGCTGTTAATAATATAAAAGGAAGATCAGGCCGTTTTGTCCAATACATTACATAAATGTTAGCACACTATGAGCACCTCAGAGTATGCACTTACTTGACGAGATGCAAACTATTCTCCAAATAAAAGCAGCATTATTGTATTTTGTAGCATTGAGTGATATTTTAATTTATAATCCTAAGAGATACTAGAATCCGTATGATCTGTTATAATACAGATCTAAAGCATGTCTTCTGTGTATTTAATAATTTCCCAATTACTTAAATGTTAAGTATTTTGAGTATCTTAGTTGAAATTATTTCATTTAAATGTTAACTTTAAGATCTGAAAAACAGATATCCAGAAATATGGGGCTAGAATTTAAAGGTATTTAGGAACTTAGATGTAAGAATTGTGCTCAGTAGCACTTCTAGAGGAAGAAAAAGTGTATTTTCCAGTTATCCAAGCAAAATCAAGGTGTTCAGAGCTACCTAAAGCAACACCATGTGAATTGTAGTTAACTTTTTCACCACTCTGAGCTTTTCCATTTAATGGGTAATGAGTATCCTGAGTTGTTTTAAATATTAACAGTTATAGTGTTGGAAGTGATGTTGATCCTATACTTCTGACAATCGCTCCGATTCCAGTGCTGAGAAAGGAGGGATTTTTCGTTCTCAAAAGTGCTGGTATCTGCTTCTATATAGTGTATATTTTACTAATCCTTTGCAGCACCTCGTGTTAATCCATTAGAAACAAAATACTGAATTAGATTACTGGTATAAGAAAAATAACAATTTCTGTTTCCAAGCAGGAGGACAGGTTCTAGATGATATTTAAATTCATATTTGATAGCTTCTTTAGTGGAGCCTTTTTTATATATATATATATTATTTGTTGACCTTGCACTAGTGAAAACAACATTACATTTAAATATATTTGTTGTTTGGACTTCATATTCTAATTGCTTTTAAATCTTTCTTTTCTGTACAGTTAACAAATATTTAAGCTCTGAAAATCCACTGTTCTTTGAACTACGTGCCAGATACCTTATTGCCTGTGAACGCATCCCTGAGGCAATGGCTCTTATCAAATCTTGCATAAATCATCCAGATATCAGTAAAGATCTGTATTTCCATCAAGCTCTTTTCACCTGTCTTTATATGTCACCATTAGAAGATCAGCTATTCCAGGAGGTATTGTTTGTCAGTATACTTTTTTTTTTAATGAAGTGGTACATTATACTTACTGTGTACTAGTTGTCAAGAGGAGCATATAGAACTCTGTTTTTGTAGAACCAAATGTCATAAAATGAGGCAACTACACCCATGTTGCTTAACTTAATGTTGGCTGAAACTTTGAAAAGTTAAATGTTAAATGCCTACAAATCTTGTTGACCTAAATGCAATTTTTTGGTCAAGTTCACTTGTAGATATATTCCCTAAATAAGTTGAGTCATTAATATTTTGTAACTTCAGTGTATTGACTGTCTTACTATTGACTATTATTTTTGCAAAAGCACTTGAGCCTAATTGATGTCAGTCCAGTGTTTTGTACATTATACAGTTTTGTTAGCCTTAAAGTTTTTTTTAATGATGCCCCAGTATGTAAAATGACAGTCTAGCTGCATGTGTCCCTACTTTTACCACTGATACCACTTACTAGATAGCAATGCTTTTCTTAATCTTGTTTTAAGAACAAGCTACTGTCATGCAAAAGAAGTGCTTTTGTGTAGTCTTTTAATTTCTCAGATAATTATTATGGTTGTAATTACTTTAAGAAATATGTATGAGCTCTGAATATCTCCAAAAACTCTATTTACAGACCTACACAAAAGCTATTCCAAATAAATCCTACGTTAATAGCAATTCCTGAAGTTTTCAGTAGCTTCTTTAATATAGCAAGGTCTGATAGGTTTTTATTTCATGTTAGCAAATTTATCTAAATTGATTTTATTTTAATTGTATAGCACTTGTTGAGGACTGATTGCAAGAGTGGAATTGAGATCATCTGCAACACTGAAAAAGAAGGGAAGACTACCTTAGCCTTACAGCTATGTGAATCGTTCCTAGTCCCACAGCTTCAAAATGGGGACATGTATTGTATATGGTAAATACTTTATTTCTGGTGAAACAGCTGAGCAGATAATAAATGCTTATTGCCAAAATGAAACTCATCTAACTTTGAGATATAGCTCAAGTTTAAAATACCAGATAAAAACATTTTAACGTAACTTTTAAACGTTCCTAGTACATCTGTTATGCCTGTTGCCTTTTTACACACAATCGTGTAGAGTGATAGCCTACACAGTACATAACACTTATTAATTGTTTGAAAGAAACAGAAGGGTGAGCCTTTACATACTTTAGGCTGTAAATACCTATAAATATAGCATTTATTATTTGCAAATTGTAATAATATGCAGTCTGTAGACTCTCTGGCAATGCAGATATTTTGCTGTCTTCCTAGTTATAACTTACAATAACTAAACTGCAGTATGTCACAAATGTGTGTAAAAAGAGAACATATATGATGCTGAAAATGTGCTATAAGTTATACAAACTTTTACTTCATAAACAGAGCCACAACATAATTGGTGGTCCTCTAGAAAACAATTTAAGTAAGAATGTTTTCATACACACTGAGTCGGCTTGATAGTTGGACATTTCTATGGCTAAGAAGCATTTTCTAAAGAGTTGTCAAAACAAATTTTGTCATTCTGAGAACTGAAAGATGGCTAAGGAAAATAATCCTTCTGTTTAGCCTGTATAATTTCTGTACCTAAAGTAGCATCTGCAGTCCTTGGTAAAGTACGCTTAATTGCTTAGATTATGTAGTTGAAGCAAAAAGGCTTAGTCAGCAAGAATTTGATTGGGTTTGGGTTTTTTATTCAATCAAGAGAGATCAAATTATTAATGTGTGTAACTAACTTTAATATGGAGTTCAGAATCTGTATAGGATTTCCCTGTTTCCAGATTTCAGGGAGTTGAAATGTAAGATGTGTCCTTTTTTTTTCCTTGAGGAAATAATGAAGGGTAGACATAATAATGCTTAGTTTGTTAATGAAATTTTTTCTTAACTATTGCGTGAGTAATTGATTGCGTTGAATCCAAACCTCTGGAATTATGATTATGACGTATGTTTATAATACAATGTATTGGCAATACCTAGTGGCATTTTTCATTGTCTGTCCAGATAAAGGTGGGCATGACTGTTCCCATAGGACAGATAAAGAAATTCAACCAAAAAGGTACAGAGCTTGTGTGAGACCAGTGACCACCTTTGGAATGGAAGCCAGCTTTGCTGATTCCTGCTCAAATGCTGTACTTGCTGACTTCTTACTTATCAGGAAATTTGCAGATGTAACCTACATGTATTAGTTACATGGTTAGTGCTTTCTGTTTTAGGGATACAGTCTTTTAAGAAATGCATTTTAAATATTTGGCATTAAACCTACTTTTTATACCTTTTGCTGTAGTAACATATTAACCTTGCTCATACCCAGTTCATCATTAAGTTTTCCATCATCCATTTTGAAAATTGCTATTCAAAACAAGACGTCTGTCCTTATGTTCTGGCAAAGTGGATGTCAAATATGAAATTCCAGGAGAGACTACTGTTTGATATCTGTTTATCAAGGAAACCATTTTGGCAACTTAGTATTTTAATCTTCTGTTCAGAATAATACAACTTGAAGATCTTTGAAAGAGTTCAGAGCAGTTATATCTGTGCAGCTAGAATAGCCGTTTCATTCTTCACAGATCCTGAGCCTTAACAATTGTGTACCAAACAAGAGAAATCTGCGTAATGCTTAATAAAAAATGTACACTGGAACGAAGTTTGTGAAAGCATAACTATACCGCAATCCAAATTTTTGAAGAAGTAGGAGCTGGGTTAAATTAACCCATACATCGTGTATTTTTCCCTAGAGAAGATTTTAATATCTTCAGCACAACATAAATCATCTTGCCTTGTTTGGAATTGAGGACCTTGCAGATCTAGCAGGGATTTAGCAGCAAACACTACCAGCAAAGATATCAAAATAGATTAGAAAGCTGTAAGTACCAGATACTTGCTACTGCTTCATGTGAAGCAACCTATATGAAATCTTCAAGCTGAAACCGTTAGCTCTCATATTATCTCAGAGGAAGATGGACTTTTGGACTCGTAACAAAACTCTCACGGTTTTCATTGAAGTTAAGAATAAATTCTAGATTCAGATGATCTGAATTATTTTTCTGAAGTGAAAGCCCACTTACAAATTCATCACAAAGCAAGCTGTGCTTGGTCTTGCTAGAAATGTTTGTGTACAAGGTATTGGTAAGAGATCAGTCCATAATGATGTGATTACTGACCTTCTAGTATAGAAAAGTGATGTCTCTTCAGGAAAACAGGCAAAATTTTGATGGAACAGGCATAGCAGAATGGCTTGACTTCTCTGCCAGGCAATTTTTAAATGCTGGTTTGGCTGTTTTCAAGCAGTTCCTATGCTGTAAATTCAATAAGTCAAGGATTTTTTTCCCACGTGTTCAATCAGTCTTTGGCCTTTAGGTAATTTTTGTGAATTGGATAACATTTTGGTAAAGTGTACTATCTATACCCAAGGAAAGATAGACTTTCTACTTAACAATAGCAAAGGTTTTAGATCTAGTTAATGTAGGGTGGGCTTAACCATTCTCTTATGTTGCTGATGGAAGCAGACAATGATTTTGGTATTTTGTGGGGTATTAACAAGCTGGAATACCTGTTTGCCTCTAGTAAAGAGGTAGCAAGTTCTGTGATCTCACGGTAACAATTTGAATTACCCTAACACAGATCTGTAATCATTTAAGCACAGGCCTCGGTGGCAACTAAGTTATACTGTCCAAGAAGTAAGTGTCATTAAGTACTATACCACTATGCCATACTAATCGAGCAAATAACATAGGCAGAGGTATTTTTTTTATCTCAAGTTTGTCATCTGTGTTGTGGTCAGTGACGCAGAAATATCTCAAGTGCTGCTAACTTCAGCATTAAAGTTGGTATCCAAAGCATTTAAGTGGTTGAAATAAGTCCAATCAGCTCTTCAAGAATGCTTTAATCCTTAACGATTATCAAAGTCAGAAATGTGCTTGAGGAGGAGAAGCCTCCGTGTCTACGTGGAATAAGACTAAAATACTATTTCACATCAGGGTCTAGTCAAATGGTGGTTAAACTGATTTAACAGCTTGCTTTTCACCCATGGAGCTGTTCCTTCTACTTCCAGTTTTCTCCATTCCCTTTTCAGTTCTTTCCTTGTGCCAGCCATCGCATTTGTCTGAACACATGGCAAGCCACTTTAACCACTAATCTCTCAGAAGAATAATTCAAGTTTTCTCAAATTCTCTGGGATTAGTGTTGAAATAGCTTGGTCTGGAATAGAATGAATCAAAGCAGAGAGTAAGTTGTGTTTCTTATAACTAAAAGTTGAGTCCAGTTGCCTTTCCAAGTCTCTGAATTAAAGTGTATAGAACTTACAGGCTGTAAATTTCAATTATCTATATTTCATAGACTAAACACATTACCTGTGCAGGAGCTCTGCTGCAGACTCTAGCAATCTATTCTTATATTTCCTTGTATCAGTCAAATGTTATTTGACTGAAGATCATAGAGATGTATGAATAGCTGTAGAGCCTGATACTTTGATGTAGAAAGACCAGTGATGACAGCAGTAAAAACAGAAAATTGTGCTGTAATATGCATAACTAGAGAACATCGGTATTTCCTGTCAATGGTTGATATTAGAAGCTAGATTTCTACAACACTTCCATTTTCCACATTCAAACACTTCTTTTCCTGAAGGACTCCTTATCCTTGCACTGAAAGTTACAATCCCAAGAGCACACAGAGCTTGCTGTTCAGCCTGATCTTTATTGCCTGTGACGTTAAGGTCTAGATGTTGTAACATCTGATTTTATTATGCAGTTCTCTGATACTAAGCTGAATACATTAATATTTTGCTGAATATTTAATTGGCTTAGTGATAGGAGATACCCTGAACGCTTTAACAAAGTAATTAAGTTGCAGTTTCCATTGTGCACATTGTGTACACTTGTGGTGTTAATTAGATTGGTATTACGCCCTCAAATATGGTTTTAGTTGCAGAATATGCAAATAGTTGTTCTTAATAACACATCATGCGTAGTGATAGATGTCTAAAACTCAATCGAACTGAAGTATTTTGTTCTGTTCTTATAGGGACCTGATCTTCATTTGGAGTAAACTGCAGCTTAAATCTAACCCGTCAAAACAAGTATTTGTTGACCAGTGCTACCAGCTTTTAAGAATTGCTACAAATGTCAGAGTAATTTTCCCTTTCATGAAAGTCATTAAGGATGAAGTAAGTTTTGCTTGTTCGTTTTACCCCACCCCTAATCTTTTTGTAACTAGTTAAAGAGAAGTGATGTTTATATTGTGTGATGGCTACTTTTTGAGGAAAGTTAAGAAGGGGTAGGGAAGTACACAGTATTAATGTAAAAAATTTTGTCAGGTTCCAGAATGTGTTTCAATATTATGATTGCCCTTGATCTGTTGTGTGTGTTTAAGATCTTTTTTTTTTTTTTGACCGAATTCTCAGTTTTTCTTTCTGTCTGCAGTAAGTTTGAGGAATGTCATCCTCCATAAATGAATGGGCAAATTAATAATAAATACATGAAGTAATGTGGAAGATGCATTGGTTGGTGTTTTTTTTTTTAGCCTGGCTCCTTAAGGAAATATGACCAGTGTAATGCCATTGTATCTGCCTTTAACCCTTGTTAAGTTCTGAATCCTTTCACCAGGCCTAATCAAATCTGAAGAAGTGCTTAATATAACATAAAGGAAAAGCTAGACTAAAATAGGAGAAGACATAATTTTGCTTAAGAAAAGTGTGCTGTTTCATGCTTCAGATGATGTTAGTCTTATACTTTTCCATACAAACACTTGCAAAAGATGTTTCACAGACAGGAGTGCAAGTTGTTTCCAGACGAATGTTGTTTTTTTATCTTTAACCTTAACTGAACAAAGCTCCTTCATATTCTACGCCCTAAATGAATTACAAATTATTTTGTCATGAGTGCTGCTGTAAACTTCTAAATGCAATGATTGGCTGCTGTTTTTGATTTCAGTATGTATTCGGAAATACTTGTGGTGACATGAAAAAGTTTTATTTGTGTTTGCATCTGAATGATCTTATTTTTTAATAACCCACTACATATGGAGCATTGTATGTATTTGTTAACACACATTTAAATATAGGTAGGTATTAATTATTTCTAAACTTTCTGAAATCCATTTTACGCTAATCTGCTACATGTTGGGCTGTATGTTCCTGATCATCCCTCAGAATTACATGTTTAGGCTAGGAGCCCTGTCATGAAGTGTGGAATAGGAATTCTACTTGTTGGAAGGATAGTGTGTCAATTGTGAAAGTCAAGCCTTTTGGAATACTTGGCCATGGGTTGTTATGGTTTCCCCGGTGGTCATTGTTCAAAATTGAGGGCAATGTTTTATGGTTAGTATTTTTATGCAATGCAAATTAAATTAATTAATCAGGGATAAAATAGAGAAACTATGCAAATATAATATGAAGCAGCCTAGGTAATGAAGATGCAGACAGAAGATACTGCTAGATCAGGTACGATTTGCTGCAGTCTTGTTTTATATCCCCAAATAATTAATGGCCTTTAACTATAGGACTGCACATGGCAAAAGTATCCGAAGCTTTGTTGACAGTAGCTGTATAGCTGTCAGTGAAAACTAGATGTTATTTTTGAGCATTTTTGTATCTGTATTTTATAGTCTTGATATAGCATTATTCTAAAATCTATGTTTCTTTAGACAACGCTTACTAGCAGGGTGCTTTCTGAACTCCGAACTATTTTGGAAGTAGATTAATACCAATACATGGGATATTGATGTTTGGCCATTGTTTCTACTAGTTGATTTATATTTTTTTTTTTTCTGAGGGTCTGTTGTTTTTTTATTTTACTTTTAAGCTGTAGACTTCTGTAAGCCTGTAAGGAAAACATCATTATGCATACTCTATAAATATGTACATTGTAATTTCCTTTCTGCAGGTTGGTGAAGATGGTCTTCAGATATGTGTGGAGATATGTGGATGTGCCCTACAGTTGGACCTCCGTGAAGATCCCAACATGAAAAGTCTTATTTATAAAGCAATTGCTCATTTTCTGCCAAATGACTTGGAGATCCTCAGAATTTGTGCTCTTTCAATCTTTTTTCTTGAGCGCACCGTGGAATCTTACTACACTGTTGAACATTTATATAAATGTGCAGATGAAGAATACAATGAGTGCACTAGTTCTGTTCAAAACCGTGTCCGTTTTGAATTGCTTCCAATTTTGAAAAAAGGTTTGTTTTTTGATCCTGAGTTTTGGAATTTCTTGATGATCAAACAGAATTGTTTAGCATTATTGGGGGATAAAGCTTTCGTTGGCTTAAGTGAAAGTACACTGGAAAACTCTACTGCAAATACAGAGAAGACAGCAGAGTATAGGGCTCTGAGTGAGGAACGTGTCTGTTTAACAGATGTAAGCAATGGGGAGCTTGACCCTGAAGACCTCTCCGAATCCCAGTCCAAAGGTAATGCCAAAAAGAACCATGAAGCTCTTGAGGCATCTAAAATGTTAGATCAAACTGAACCAAGGCACCGCTGTGTGATATGCAACAAGGAATTTCTTGGTGGTCACATTGTGAAACATGCACAAGCTCACCAAAAAAAGGGCAGTTTTTCTTGTGTACTTTGCACCAGAAAGTTCAGGCAAAGAGGACTTATGCTGAAGCACTTAAAGAATCATGTCAGGAAGATAGAAAGGCAACATCTTGCTGCAGTTCTTGAGGCTGGTCAGCGGACTCCTGCTCTTAATGAACTAGAATGTTCTGATGTTTCTCCATCTCTTGAAAACGGGAACTCTGATGGTTCCAAAGATAATGAACCAGAGACTGCAGTAGTTCCAAGTGCTGACCAGGTGGTCCAAGTGGAGGAGGACAATGCAGAACAGGTATTTGATGCAGTGGAAAACCATCTAAGTGACCAGGATGATGCTACTGAAAATAGTAGTGACAGCTGTTTTAACAATGTTCCTGATGCTTTAAGTACAGAAAGTTTGCCTGAAGATGATGAGAGCTCCAGTAAAGAGTCACCTATTCTGCATAAAGCAAATGGAGCTTTTTGCCCTCAAAAAGACATTGATGCGATGGATGAGGAAGGAAGCTTTAAGTGCCCTGCTAATGGTTGTGCTAGAGTGTTTAAAAAGATAAGATTCCTCAATAAACATGCAAGAAAAGCTCATCCAACTGATTTGAAGGTGCAGCAGCATATAATGAAATGGAATAAAGGAAAATGTCGATTCTGCCAGAGAAAATTTGCTGATTCCCAACATTTTATAGACCACCTGAAGAGACATGTGTATCCAAATGTTTACTTTTGTTTACACTTTAATTGTAATCAGAGATTTAAGCTGTCAACTGAGCTTGCAGAACATACAAAAAGTCATAGTGTTTTTAAAGCTCGATGCAATTTTGCAGAGTGCTGTGAGCTATTTGAGGAGCTCCCTTTGCTGTATGAACATGAGGCTCAGCATTATTTAAACAAAACACTAGAATGTTCAGAAGATGCAAGTGAAAAAGACTCTTCAGATGATCCTTCAGAACTTTGTAGTTACCAAGATGATGATGAATCTATTAATGAAAAAGAAACTGTAGATTTACCAATTCCAACTTGGAAGTCAAGGAAGGATTCTACAGAACCAAAGACATATATTCAAAGTGTTGAGAAGAAAGCAAATAATGTAATTCACAATGGAAATGAAAGTTCATCTGAGGGTAACGCTACAGTTTTAAGTTTGATAGACCAAAAGGCACCTGTGTTACAGCCAAATTCTGAAAACTGTAATGTTGTTAGTGACCAACTAGTCAATGGGCACAGTGACCTAGATCAGACATCATCAAAGTCATCAGAAATACCTTTGGACAGAGTGGCAGATGAAACAAGGACAGAAAATGGGTCAGTGTTACCAGTTTTACAGAATTGTCATGATATACCACAAAATAATGCTGCTGCCTCACAATTACCTTCTAAACCAAATCAGACAACAGAGAATACTTCATATGGTGTCATCTTAACAAAACCATATGTTAGACCATTGCCTCCAAGTTATCTTGATGAACGATACATTAGCATGCCAAAACGTAGAAAACTTTTGACTGATGAAGTAGATGCTCATTCTGAACAAGATAAATTTTGTAGCAAATCAACAGAAAGATTTAGATGTGGCAACTGCTTGACCATCTACTGTAATTCAGAAGCACTTGAGGCTCACCTTGCACAAAAGAAGTGTCAGACGCTCTTTGGATTCGATTCAGATGATGAAAGTAAGTCTTACAGTCTTTCTGGGTTCATTTGTTTGGAGGTAAATAAGCTGATGTAATAGATAAGACAGACACGACTTCTAAGCAATAGTAGTGTGCTAGAAATTAGACAATTAAATCACAATACTGTGCTAAATTGGAAGGTTAAATTGGACATGCTGTTCAGAATAAGAAAGAGGTCAGAATTGATAGGCAACTCTAATAGAAAAAAACTTCTCGTAGAACAGAAGAGGGTAATTCAATCTGTCTTTCCTTGCATGTTTGAAACTAAACATGTTGAAAAACATGAGCAGTATTCCAGATTAAAGACTGATTTACATTGGTTAGTCTTCATTTTGATCCCAGTGCATTTTCTTTTACAGGTGCCTGATTCAATGTTGTGGGAAAATGTATCAAACGAGGAGTGGTGTAAGAAAACACTACATGAAGAAGCATCAGTTCGTTCCCCAGTTGGCCTTAATCATAAAGCAGTCTCAAATTACTAAAGAAAAACATGACCTTGATAAAGACAAAGCACATTTTCTAGACAAAACTCACAGAGGAATAATAGGAGCTCTGCAGGTCTTGAGTCCAGAAAGGTTGCTACAAAATCCCCAAAGTACCAGTTATCCGAAAAGCCACGTTCATTCCTAATGTGTGATTGAAGCTTAGCGGCACAGTCTTTCTAGCATGAATGTTTAAGCGAAATAAGGCACACAGTTGAGCAGGCGGAGAAAGCAGAGGTGTTAATTGCCTTATGGAAATAAAACCAGCCAATTCTGAAAGCTGCTTTCATTGGAAAATGTGTGGTTAAAGGATATCCATCCCCACAGCTGGGAAGGAATCATTCAGGAAGGTGTTACATTATTATAATATGGATAAGAAATGTGTAGAGGAACATGCATTCATTTTTCAAAGTTTGAGTATGTGATTCCATTATCTGCTCAAAAGCACAGAGCTCATTTAATAAACTTATCCAAAAGAATCCAAAAAAGAAGAATGTAGAAAGAAATGTAAGGTGGATGGAATGCTCGAATAGCCAAAAGCTTGAAGTACAGAGCATACAAGAAAAAGCAAGTTGATGTGATACTAAGTATGAAAATTATGCACAGTGGAAATCAGAGGCATGTAAGAGAAACCCTTTTCAAGGCTATGGTAAAACGTACTTTAAGAGTGTGCCATGAAACATCTGTTGTACGTGCAGGAAGACTAATACAAGCAGTACATGCATAGATTGTGTGGATATTAACAGAAGCAGATTTAAACAAATGCAGAATGTGAAGGGGGTTAAGCTTGCATTACAGGGCAGAGTTAAACTAATCTTCTAGCTTCTAGTCCTTCAGCCGTTGGTATGACTGAAAAGAACTTGAGATGGCTTCCTGTTTAAAAAAAAAAAAGCACATGACAAGTTGGGGGGAAAAAAGATCAGGAAGAGCCTGTTTTACATATGTGATGTTGCTTAATGGTGGTAAGTAGTTACAGTACCGAGTTGTGACCTATTTACTGTCTAGAGAAAGAAAACATCTATCAACGCAACCTTAGGACACATTACAACCATATCTAGTAGCATCTCTTGAAAAGATAGCCTTTCCCAGAAGTTAGTGAAGGAATTAGACTTAAACGTGAAGCACTTTATCCAAAATTCACTGTTCATAGAAACAATCAGAATGTGAAGACAGGAAATCTGAGTCATTCAGCTCTATATGTAACATTAAAATACAGGACACTTGGAAACCAAACAGATGCTGTTGTGGTTTTTGGTCTTCCCACCCCAAACAGAAGTGTGGCAAATGTACATTGTCTCATTACTGTGCTAATTTATCCTCTAATTTATCTTATACTGTCTTGCCACCTAAAAATCTTTTATTTGGGATCTGGTTCTGTGCGAGTAGCTGAAAATTTTAATGTGATTGCAGGCACTGAAGGTATAGGGGTGGAAAATCGGTGTATACAGATGGAGTCATCACAGAAATGTAGGACCACTGTTCCTGCTCAGCTAGTTTGCTTGCTGCCTAGTTCATCACAGTGCGTGTATGGCATAAGATGATCAACTTGTTTAAATCAATAGATACGTAACGACTAATGAGTAAAAAACTCAAGAGGTACATTAAGATCTGTTCATTGTAGCAATGGCTCACACTTGCAAACCTACGGTTTTATTGTAAAATAGGCTGTTACATAGTTCTGGAACTTAAACTTAATAGTTCAGTAATGCCTCTGCTAATAATCCTCTGTGAAATTAAACAGATATTTGCATTAATTCTGCTTCCTTTTCACCTCCAGGAGGTAAAACCAACGCAAATTCAAAATCATACTCTTTTGAATTCTAGAAAATTTTTGCCTTAACTTTGAGTTGGATTAACATAAAAGGTTATAAAATTATGATCACAGGTATGTGTGCATTACATTATTACAGATGAGTGGCCCACTTTCAGAGCTTTGTATGACATTTGAGGCACCAAAGAATTTTTTTTGCAGTTGCAAAAAAAATTATTTAAATGCATCATTCATTATATATACATGTATACACACACTATATATATTTACATATATAAATACATTAAAAGTTTTTAAATGAAAATGTAATGGGGACCGTACCAGCCAAATGCACTTTCACATTTTTTGCTTTCAAGTTACCAACTAATTTTTAAGGACCCAGATATCATCTTGAATGTTCCCAGGCTCCCCTTTCTTTGCTTAACATTGTTAATCTAGTTAAATTTGCTGAAATATATTTGGAAAAAAAAGGTTAATTTTAAAGTATTACAGTTTTAAAAATCTGAAAACTCAGTCAGTAGATATGAAAAAATGTTGGTGTAAAGTCTTTTAAATGTACCTTTAATCTTTGGTGCTTTTTTGCCTTTTCCCGGAGCTCCATGTGTTTGAAGATGCTTTGAAAACATGATCGAGACTTGTATTTTCTTTGGTTTAAGTGTGTAGAAAAATGCATCTATGTACATGCATAAACTGTGACCATAATTTTTTGTACCTGCATTAAAATAATTTTTGTTCAAAAATGCTTTTCTTGGACACCACCATTTGTTTATACCATGTGTTCAGTATATACACTTTGGAGAACTGGAAAACTGAATTCTTACATAGGTGAACATTAGCATCACCCAACACCTGTCAGAAATATGCTAAATTGACCTGAAGTAGCAAGTGGGTGGTAACACTTTTGTTTTAATAATGATTTTTACTTCAAAAGACATTGCATTTTCTTTAAACTACTCTCTGATACCTGTTGGTATTCTCAGATAGTTGCAGTATCAAGCAACTTTAATTAGGAGCAAAAAGATACTTATAATGTATGGGGAATAATTCTACGTGCTTTTTAAGCATTCTTTACTATGTTGAGTATTACCCTATACTAAGCCTGCAACTTCTAGGGCTGAAAAAGGTTCCAAATCTAGAACTGAAAGTGTTTTTTTTTCCCAGGCATTAAGCATTGTATGATATAATTGGAAATACTTCTTCAAGATGTATCAGTTTGATTCAATAAATACTGAAGTACATGTGTAATGTAAGCATGCAAATATCTTCAAGCTGCCTGAAGTTATACATGAGCTGAGGAGCTTTGTTGGATCAAAGTTTGTGCATTTCATTGCTGATAATCGTATTCTAATAACGTTCCTTCAGGTGGCTATAACTTGGATTTAGACTTTCCTTTTAAGACTGTCTACTCTAACCCGATTGCAGTTCACTGTAAAGGTCATGTAAGTTCTAATTTTCAAAGAGTTGCCGCTTGGTAGGCACCTTTCACAAAAAAATAATAATAAAATACGGAAAGTAGGTTGAAAGTGGTCATATCTGTGGGGAAAGGTCACTGGTACTTTGGTTATTTAGCCATATTCATTAAAACTATATAAATTGTATAGTTTGGATAATTTATAACATTAAATTTTGTGATTTTAATATCACATTGAAGGTTCAGCTGTACTCATTTCTTTTATTGTTTAACACCAGTGGTATGGACAAAAGACTTAAAGGGGGGGTGGTAGTGTTACTATTTTCTTAATTTATTTGGTACTGTATAACACCTTTCTGATTAAATGCAGTGTATGCATTTTGGGACTCTGTTAATTTGTAAAAGCTGTTACAGGTTCAGCAAGAAAGGAAATTTGTGCTTCCTTGTTGAATGTTAAATTATTTTACTTTGCATTTTATATAAGAGTACAAATTAAAACTGAGCCATCAAACTGCAATAAATCAACAGTAGTGTTTCATTTTAAAAACTTTTTTGTACTGTACATAGATTTGTTCAATAAAACATTGTCTTTGTTGTTGGTAGAAATTGATCTTGTCCTTTGGGGAACCACTCTGAAAGTACTGCTGTAATGTTTATGGTTACCATGTTATGTTTGGTGTATGATTGTTGCACAGCTGCTAGGTCTTGATGTTCCAGGTGTGTGGATATTTGGATTTGAATGGACTAAATCTGTTGAAGTATATCCAAGAATACCCAGGATTGTACCAGGGTCATTAACACAGAACTGCTGTCTCTCTCCCCCTCCCTGTCCTTCCTTTTAGTTAATTAACTTTCCTGCTGTGGTAAATTTGGGAGCTTTCAGTTAACTAAGTATTCAAAAAGTCTTAATAGTATTACAGATTCTTTACAAATAGATAACTGCTGAAGAGAGAAGTATGTCTGTGTGAGGGAGAGGAATAGCTTTTTTGGTCACCAGTGTGAGACGTCTGAAGAACACACCTACTGCAGAAAAAGCTTCCATCAGCATTTGAAACTCAGACACCCAGCAGTCCATCCTCGGGTTTGACTAGCACTGACCAGCTTCAAAACACTGGCAGCTTTAAGATCATTTATTTAAATAGTCAGCCAGGTGCACTGGGAACCAGGCTTTGTATTTAGTGCATGTGCCTATGTAATTTACAAGCATCATGTATTGTTCAGATGATACGTTCCCCCATAAAGGGGAAATCGGAACCCATGCGGAAATGGGGATCTGCTCAGTGATCAGCCCAGATCTCGGCGCAGGACAGGCCTGTGAGGTCTCTGACCTGGTAACGGAGGGCTCATGTAGTGGTTTTTAACGTGCAGATGGAGAATGGCATAAGGCTGGCA